CCCCAAAACCCCAAAACCCCAAAACCCCAAAACCCCACTGTAATATTATGGCATTAAAAATAACATACAGAAGTTAATTAAGTATACTAAATCTCCCTTAAATTGATAAAGCATATTATATATTAAGCTGAATTATATCTTCATGGATAATAGCAGTAAAGACAGATTTCCTACTACTTTTGCAAATAATTCAAACCTTGAAAACAGAGGCTCATCCTACGATTATTTAGATAATAGTACAAATCGAAAGAAATAGCTTAATAATGATCTTTATACTCCATTAATAGAACACTAGATTAGATAAAGAAGTGGTCTGACAGTGATAGGAGCTGTTCGATCATATATTTCAACTATTATCGGTGCAGGAATAGTCTCACTTCCCTATGTAATTCTTAAAGCTGGCTACTTATTCGGTATTTTCCTTCACATAACAGTAATAATGATACTTATGTTTGTGACCCACTTGCTCTTAAAAGCTAGACAAAATCTTGGGCTAGAGTAAGATTTCTCAATCATAATAAATGTGTAGATCTTTCGGTGAGATAGCTTACATATGTCTTGGAAGGCCTTCAATCTTCATTATTAATTTTGTTATCACAGCAGCTACTTCATTGATTGTTACCATGTATGCCTTGCTTTTCAGCAAGATTTGTGTTTCATTTGCTCAGAGTTTATTTGGAGATACATCAAACAGCGATAATCCATTTGAACAGATGATCACTATGAGATTTTTCTACGTAATTTTGCTTTACATTATTCTGATGCCGTTTGTTTTGAAAAAGAATTTCAAGGAACTTAAACTGACTAGCATATTGCTTATCGTTGGAGTCATTTCCATGCTTTTAATATTCTTTGCCAAAGCTAACTTCAAGTCCTACTTTATAAATGAGAACGATAAGAAAGTAGATATCTATTAGAAGGGCAGTATTGTAGATTCTATATTCATAGTTCTGACTGCTTATGGATATATACTCAACTACTATCCTATTTTCTCCTAACTTGAAGTGAAGACTAACAAGAATGGCTACTTATCTCCATTATTGGCTATGATATTTTGCTTTATAACCTACCTATCTTTTTCATATTTCGCCATGGAAACATACGGTGAGTATCTAAATCCAAATATATTTGAGAATATTTAAGTTGAGAGCAATATACCATCATATTTCATTAGATTGATATTCCTAGCTATCTTTATTTGCAACATTCCTTTCATATTCCTCCCTGGCAAAGAGTGTTTGCTAATGTCTATCGATGAAGGCAGAAATAAAACTATTTCAAAGTAAATTGAAAGAAGGATTGAAATTTTGAAAGGTGATAATTAGAGTCACAACAAGAGCAAAAATGATGAGGATCTTAACGGAGCTTTGATATCTTAAAGAGTTTCAAACACGATTTATTATTCACAAAGTGTTGGCTTATTTACTTTGTAGCTATTGCTTGCAGTATTAATTGAGGATATTACAATTATTTTTGGATTTTTTGCAGCATTATCTGATTCTACCACTAACTTCATTCTCCCAGGGCTCTTCTATATAATTAGCTTTAGAGTTGCTGGCAAGCAGCCTCATACTCTTACATTAATAGCAAGTTATCTCTGGGTATTAGCAGGTTTAAGCCTTTTCTTCTTTGCTAACTATAATAACATCAGAAAAATAACAACTTCCGCAATCTGATACTTTCAATTAATACTAAGGAAATCAGGATTATTTTATAAATGCAATTTAGCTTATTTTAAAATAATTTTGATTCTTGATTTGTTCATTTGGGGTTTTGGGGTTTTGGGGTTTTGG